GTTGGAGGAGGGGAAGCGTGTCCGATTTTCGAATATGGTAGATGCGAAATGGACGCAACTGCACCTAGTCCATGTTTGTCCGCAAAATGGACCCCAAACCAAATTTATTTCGCCATCAGCTGATTAGTTGACTTATGAAGGCTGTTTTCCAATTTGGATCAAACATAGCTACATATGAGTCAGATCCTCTGAATATCCAATGAACCTTTCCGGATTTAACGCAGCGCTCATCAGAAATGCATGATCGAACGAAACATTGCAGCTGGCACGCACAAAGCAGATAAAGGGTGGTTGGGCATCATTTTTACCCTTCTTCTTCCTATTCCTACAAGATCTCAGTTCTTTCCGATTAGAAAACCAGAGCATGTCGGCGATGTGACTTTTTCTCAGGATTGGCAGAATGAGGTAACCTCTATTTCGGAAAACGAGAAGAGCGTCGAGTGCAGACCACACACCACAAGTGACGACGGCCAAGAAAAAGTGGCTTTTTTTCTTTTTCTTGGCCGTCGTCACTTGTGGTGTGTGGTCTGCACTCGACGCTCTTCTCGTTTTCCGAAATTGAGGGTAAGTGAATCATTCAACTATTTTTTTGCATTATGTTTTTGCAGTGTGCGATGAAATGGAACACTTTGCTAAAGGGCTTGCAGTTTGTCTATTACTGGCGCGCGCGGTAGCGAAACGGTCGTTTTGATACAGTGTTTGTCGCTGTCTTTTCTGACTGTTTAGGTTTTGTTTTCTTTAAAGATAATTATGCCCATTATTGCCACATGGCGGAAGCGTCACTTCCGAACCATCCACGCTACTTATAGTGAGTGGTACAATTTGATATGGTGTGGAATAGCACACAATATAGGCGTGTAGTATTGCCATACGCCGGCGCTTTACAGTGATCTAACATAGATTGCACTTCAAAAAAGATCGCTTTGTTTCCTGGTTCGGACATACCGTAATTGCAGACTAAGTAGTGCAAGAAACGCTTGAAACATCCTACACCTACCACAACTTTTCTGCGCCGTTGCTGTTGTTCTTTTTTTGGGTATTTTTTTGGTTTGGATTTTTCATAAAACTCGCGTTCGGGGGCAGTTTTGGCCAGAATGGTACACGAGGGTAGTTTTCTTTTTCCGGGCAACACGAACATCACGTTTGTTTTGCGCGAATACGCAAGCGCCGCGCTGTCACGAGTGTCATGGCACCAGAGCTCGTGGCGGGAATTCCAAATGTTAGGGTGCCATGAAAATGTGGTATTTGCAACCCATGGGTCAAGATGTTCCATTAATTTTTGTCAAATTGAGTCCAAGGTGTTCAGGTTTTTGACAGCCAAAAACACGAGGACGGTATTATCATACAACGTCTTCAAGCACCACGACTTTTCTCGTACTCGTTCATCGATGCAACTGTAGTTAGGGGGGGGGAGGGGCGACATCACGGCGGAGTAGCTCGTCCTGGCGGAATAAATCCTATTTTTCCCAGCGGAAGGTAGCTCTGAATAAGTTAACCATTTGAGAATAATAAGTAGAAAAAGAGTTCTGACCTCCCCGAGTGCTCTGCACCACGATGCCCCTCCAACTCCACTTTTGCTCATCTATTTTCTCGAAGATCGTCCTGTCATCATCTTGTTACATTATTATATCTCTTCACAATCTCTCGCTCTTTGCGAAGTTGATCTTCAGCATTGAGAATGGGCAAAGCTTATGCTCCTCCTTGAACGAGTTATAATGGGCGCAATGTGGCTCGGGGGGGGGGGCACCACGAACATCGCGTCAAGATCACGGAAAAGCTCAGTTTCAGGACTAAGCCTTTTGGAGAGGGGAGAGACTCCGGTATGCGGAAGCAATTTTCGTATTCTCGGAGTCGTCCGTGCTGCCTAGGCATTGTCCCAGGCCTTTCTGCAGAGTGCCCCCCGGAGCCACATGCGATTCATGTTTATCCATTAATATTTTGTTCATAATGTTGTTTTTCTTAATTATCAGGCTTAGGTGTTAACCAGTGCCCCATTACAATTACCGTATTTTGACGCCCATGGATATGGTACTGTGGTGCTAATTTGCATGTTTTCATGGCGATTACATTAATCATGTGTGAATAACGCTTTACTTTGGTGTTTTCTACGTGAGAATCATCAGGTTTCCGGTCGTTCACACCTCAACCCGTCGTCAGAACCCTGCGGCTAAGACAGGGGCGGACCAAGCCCTGATTGCAGCGTGGTTTTCCTTTTTGGAGTACTCCGATGTTTTTTTTGCCTTATTTATTCCCACCTTAGTTGTGGTCTCCTTATGTCCAATTTAGGAACATATTGCAAATCCTACCATTCTATTGAGTATTTACCAATGGTTGTCGATTTTTTTTTGTAAAACAACCAAAAGTTAGTATGCGAATAGTTATATCTATATACATCCCTTAAATACCACAAAATCATAAGCCGCATTCATACTTTGCGATTGTAAACTAGGCTAGGAAGGAGAAATTCGCGATACGCTAATTTATTGAAAGTGGAAGTAGAGATGCCAAATGGTGAGTGGTAAAAAAATGAACGAATGTCAAAGACTCAAAAAACAGCACCCTCTTCTCCCCATTGATTTCAACTTTGGATGAGTCAACCACGGCTCTTTGGGCCGTTGCAACAACTTGCCCTTTGTAAACACACTAAAAGTTATTTCGGGTCTCATCCATTAAGGTGGAAGGGGAGGGGGGGGGGAGGAGAGTTGGTGCGGCAGCTGCTCCAGCCCACAGAAGTTCGAGATTGGCAGAAGGAGGAAATCCCCGGAGTGAGTGAACCATTTCGCTTCCACTTTAACACCCACCCGTGAGCTTTCCTCCCCTGCAAGAAATTAAATTACTTTAGCCCGCTAGGAACTGTCGTAAAACATGCCCCCTTTATTGGATGAGACCTGTCATTTAATATGTTATCGTTATAATAATACGGGTGTGGTTCATTAAGACAGAAAGCGACTTTTTCGCTTTTCGCAGCGCGAAACATTTCTCGCTGCGGGAACTCAGGTCCGGTCGACGGACTACTTGAACTCAGCCCTTTAAACCCTCTGCGCTCTCTCGCGGGTCCCTCTCCTCTCCAAGGCTTAGTCCTAGGGCATTCTCTAATCGTCTGTGCTCTAGCCATCGCGGCAGGACCATTGAGGAAAAATCAAGTAGTCCGTAAACCGGTCCACCGCTGATCCCCACTGGACCGAGTTCCCGCAGCCATATTGGCCGATGTCAGACTTTGCGATTGGAGCGATTTTGCACCAATTGCAGGAGCGACGGATCGCTTGAGCGATGCGAGCGACGGGAGATTTACACCGCCGACCACCGATACACAAGCGCCACTCGCGTAAATC